TCACGCTGGCATACGGTGACTTAGTTGGTGAAGGGGGCGTGACCACTCCGTGGGTGTGTCTAAGTAGCTATATCACCCAAACCCAGTACAAACTGTGTGGGCTCCTGATGGCCAGGTCGTGCGTGGCACACCGTGAGAGCAGCCGATCAGCGTTCCCATTAGCTGTGCCAATACAATACGGACCGATTACGTCTGTCCACACCACGGAATCACGCCCAAGGTGCCCGTCGAAATCCGAAGAAATAGTCGGTCCCTCCTTGGAGAGACAATACCACGGAGGATGACTGAGTGTAAAACTGATCCATCGTGTCGTGAGCATAACAACACACGGTGGAACCGTACGTGCTAATAAAAGTGACACAGGGGCATCAATCTTGGGCTGATGCCAATTAGCTCTCCCACTAGCTGCTCATTTAGGCGATCGGACAGTGTAAAACCGACCCCGTGTTCAGGTGGTGTTGTAGTTTCGTTTCCCACACAGAAGAACGTTTAACCCGTAGTAATCACCTGCAGCTCCCGATATTCCACCTGCCGAGTCTCACTGAGTAAGGCAATGTCAATGACATATCGTGCGAGATCCATCGTGACTTGTGCACTGTGTTGCTCGTTTGTGTTCCAGTCGAGTAATAAGTGCACGTTCCAGCACCTTATGTTCAGCACTTTGCTCGGAGGAATACGACTGCGCGCTGCAATCAGTCGTGTGGTGAGGTGGATTGGAGCGAGTAGTGCGTTAGGTGAAATGATGACGGGAAGGAGAAAAGTAAATAAGGGAAGCGTCAACGGTAGCTTGTTTTCACTTATCCACCCCATTGTATGCAGCAGGTAGGGCAACTCTATTCACTCTCCCACCACTGTGCGATGGCTGATGCAGCATGGATATATAGAAGGCATCAGCAGTACGCCGGTACAAAGTATGGACGCTTCGCTGCCGCGCAACCACCACCGGTCGAACGTGGGCTAAGGATACTGCGAGGGTCGCCCTGCTCCTACGCAGGTTCGAACCTTTGCCGTCACATTACAAGACAAGCTTATTTCGTCCTATACATATATATGTATATATATGCCGGGCCTGATGTTGCATTCTTGGTACTTCTTCACCGCAGTTGGGCTAAACCAACTTACACTTAAACTGGGTCTTTTTATACTATGTAAATTTTATTCCACTTTATTTGGTTTATTCTGCCTACTTGAATAATCTTCTATTAACTGGCCACGTTGCTTACGCTAATTGCGCTTATCTTCGGCAAATTTGTTGCGTTTGTAGCTTTTTAAGTAACTTGTGGACATTTTTTGCTTTCCATGGTTTTGTTGCTGACCAACTTACTTCATATGCTCATTTATTGAAGAGTTATGTCATATCTGTATGCATTATTCGATTTATTTTATTTCATCTTGTCGTTTCAAGTGATTGGCTGTTGTTTGATATCTCCGGTTCGACTGCGCTTGATGTGCATGTTGACAAGGTGCCTACCTGTCTATTACCCACTACCTCGTCCATATTGGCTCCAGGAGACAGTTGGTCGTTACTGAAAGGGGTGGGGGTGCACGGTCCTTGCGGCCATGCTACGCTCGAAGAGCGGATCCATTCACTCATTGTGGAGCGGACTACGGTCCAGCCACCGCCTTGTGTGTGCTTATTTCTCAAATACAGCGTGCTTGTGTTTGCCTATGAAGGAGTGTGAGCCGGCTCCGTTGATGAAACGTGGCTCCCATTCACGTGTTTCCCGGTCTCATTCCTTCGGGTTTACATTGCTTTTGGGGTGTGTGGATGGAGCTGTGGGTAGTGCAGCGCAAGCCACCCATGGTCCCTCTGTAGGCGCTGGCGTCCTGTGACGGCACAGTGACATGCAAGTCCGACGGCATTGCAGTAGTGTACTGTCGGTTGCATCAAGAGTTCTATCCTAGATCATCTAGTCGAAAGTGTACATCAAATCGAGACTACTGATGCTTTCAAAGCTTTTTATATTGTACCAAACGGCTACCCCAAGCGACTTAGGAACCGAATGTTACAGACGGCCGAATCCATTGCGATCAGGCTTACACAACCTGAACTATGCAAACAGAGGGTGCTTGTTCAAGCGCTCCTTCTGCCCTGGGGCTAACACACTTCCAAATAGCTTCCACTCCACATGGTGACAACCACCGGGTGATGAGTGCGTCACCCAACCAGTTGAGAAGCACCTGCTATGTCTCCTGAGCATATTTGTGTGTCTATGTCTGCCTACGTGTACTTTGGTGGCCGCTGCCTGAGTAGATCGACCAACTTATCGATTAAGATAGCTCAATTTCTGCCTCGCTCTGATTAGTTAATCTTTATCGCTCTTCACTAGCCTATCCTGCTTCAACTTTTCTTTTCATAATTGTGAACGCCTGATGAGATTTATCAAAAAGATTGCTCTTCGCAACCTTGTGTTTTGGCAATTCCATAGGTATAATTTTCTGACTTACTTATTTAACCTGCCCGCTACCCCTTGGATATTGGCCCTCCGTGACCACGTCAATGGTTTACTAAACCGTAACGGTTGAGGCACACACGACCGCGTGTGCCATAGTACCCGGTGCATGATGTCGACAGACCAGTTACCGGTCGGCATCTGAGGCTTACGCAACCGGTGATTTTCTCCTAGGTGCAGCAGTACTTCTCTTATACCTGAACAACAGCATTCTTGAGGTGGTCACGCCATTGACAGCAATCCACTTCTATTGATTCCCATCATCTACGGTCACTCTTAGCTAAGGACAAACTTGCCTTGATCATGTGCTGGTAACGTAGCGTCGGTTTGCCCACGTTTCTCTTCCCTGTACTTATTTGACCATGTAGCGTGCTTCGGTATTCTAGTCACATCCATACGGCGTACATGGCCGTGCCACCTCAGTATGCAATCCATTCTGCACATACCGCTCCGACGAAGCAGCTCTATGTGAGGAATGCTGTGACCCACCGATGGCATTGCTTAGCCAAATCGTTTCAGATAACCTAAATCTTTCTTGTACAGTTTCCATGTTCCGTTACTGTAGAGGAGAACTGACAACACCACTGATTTGCAATCCATCAGCTTGGTTCCAGGCATCAGGTGATGGTTCCTCCGCACATACCTTCTGTACGCGGATGCGCAGCTCACTGGTCATCTACAGGTCTGTTGACAGTATGCTCCCGAGGTTGCAAAATTTTGATGTTCTCCAGAAAGTCATAAGCAATTTTGATTTTCGGGCAGCTTGTGGTTTCCACTCCTTCTGAGTCCGAACTTGGCCGCTGTCATCCTACGTATTAACTCATCCTCGTTGAGCGCAAACAACGCACAGTCGTCTGCAAACAACGACATCCGAATAATTGTTTCACGCACTCGGGTTCTCGCCCCTAACTCACTATCGATACTGTGCTTGAAACGAACACCGTATTCCCGGGCATTAAAAGCATTACACATCATAGCATTTGGCTAAATGTTAAATAGAGTAGGAGCTAGTACACATCTTTGCTTCACACCAGAGACAACCGAGTTATCCGATGTTTGTCCACACAGCTGCAACCTCGTGCATACCATTGTGCAGCTTTTCAGTAATAGTAATCAATTTACCTGAGTAGCCAACTTATCCAGAATCAGCCACATTGCCTTGTGGATCACCTTGTCGAGTGCTTTGATAGGGTCGATGAGCAACGAGTACAATGGCTGATTTCGCTCACTTTTCTCCTGCAATTGACGAATCATGAACACCATATCTATCTGTATAGTTTTCTACTATTTTCACTTTAAACTGGACGTATCACAGGTCAAAGTGGACACAGTTTAAGCAGTTGAATATTGAGTTTTGCCCGCCCGAAAACACAGCATTTCACTACCGGTTTCGAATTTAGTTGACACTGTTTAATCAGAAAATCAACATTCCTTGTTCGCAAGGAATGATGCCTAAGGCGACTGGACGATGTTCACGCCACACTGTAGTCAAGCAAATGCAACCCGAATTGTGCAAACAGCGGACGCTGGTGCAAACGCTTCTCTCGATCATGGGTGTCGATTCCCTCGATCCAAACGCGTGACCCAGTTTTCCCTATTTCCCTAAACGCCTTCGCGTACTGTGTGTGCATGAACATGTACAGCTGCGCGACCACTAGAACATTGTAGGCTGTTATGACTCCACCATCTCTAAGATGGCTTTATTAACCTACTCTTGCACGAAACTTCAAAAATGAGCAATGAGCGCCTAGAAAACGCGTCTCCGAGGAAGCGACAATACAAGCGAACGTCATTGATGCAAAAGTGATTTTTACAAAGCTTGTTTTCGTCGACAGCCAAACCACTTACGAAGCTGCTGAAGTCGCCGATGTCAACCAGTGAATGGCAATAAGTTGCCTTCTCATCGTTCCTTGCTCATTTTAGATGTTTCGTGTAGCAGTAGCCTACTAAAGCTACGTTAGACTTGGTGGAGTCATAACAGCCTATACTGTTCCAGTAGTCGCGCAGCTGCACAAGTCCACGCACACGCAGTACGCGAAGGCCTTTAGGGAGGTAGGGGAAAACTGGGTCACCCTCTTTGATCGAGGGGATTGACGTTCACGTCCGAGAGAAGAGCTTTCATTTGTTTGACTGCAGTGAGATCTGAACGCCGTCTATTCGCTTTACTCCTCATTTCTTGCTAATAAGTTGCTGATTTTCTACTTAAATTACAGTTTCTAGTTTAAGGTGAAAAGCCTATATATATATATATATATATATATATATATATATATATATATATATATATATATATATACGTGTGTATACGCTTTTTGATCTCATGAGCCAGCAAATGTACTCTTGAGATAGGGCAGATTTCAACTGTTTTCACTAGTGGACTGCGCGATATTTTGGATCTGTCCACAAAGCTGCTTGCGTTCCACCGTTCTCTTTCTTGTGACCAATCATACATAACATTGTATCAGGCTCCTGTGAGACTACAACACTTCCTGTTTCTTTTTCATCCCCTTGTTTTATCTCATCGGCTGATCTCAATGACCATTTCAGCTCCGGAATCAGCTGATCGCTTCAGTTCATCGTCCACCATTGACCACTAAAGGTGCTCCCTTGATAATTTGTGGCAAGAACTTCCGTGTCATCCGTTTGTTGATACCGCGAGAACGGGATTGTCATGATGTGTACACAACCATCAAACAACTGAGCACTGTCAGTAAGTTGCATTCGTTACCATGCTTTCCCATTCGTTTATACTTGCTCATGCGGTGTGTGTACGGTTGTGATCCGTGTCGCCTGGATCTTGACCTCATGAAGATACCATTCTGTCTGTCAGTACAACCCATTACTTCTCCTGGGCTTGTAGGGCTATGGGGGGCGTGCGTATTCTGTCCCTACGGACCACTCGATCGTGCTCTCCGTGGCATCTTGTCAACACTTTTCAAAAAGACTTGGCCAGTGAGTTACTTTGGCTTGGTTTCCTCGTCATTGTCTCCTATCACCTTAGTTACTTTCTGACTGGCATATGCATACACACACACACGATTGTCTCACCAGTTTGACACACAGCCGTTCACTGGATGTGTAGTCGTGTCGGAAGAGGATTAACTCTACCTCGAATGCCGACTACCCTATGCTTTTTCTGTTGTCTGAAATGATCAACAAGATCGACTTTCCATACCACTACAAACATACTACTCTTCAATCATTTGTTCAGCTCATACTACACGACGTTTTGCCCCTTTTCCACTGCTGGTTGTCTAATCGCAAGATTGCGCTATCAGCCAAGCGAGGTTACGGCTTGAATCAACATCCCCTACTTAAGATCGGTCAAAGTGTACTTCTACCTTTCCGTCTAGTTGTCCCTTCCGAAATTTTTGGGTGCGCATTGCTATAATTGAAACATTTATCTCAGGTCTATGAACGGTTGGCAATGAATGAATTTTGGTGTTCCCAACTCGCAGTCGTCAGTAACTTGATGTGTTTTTATTGGCCAGCACAATTTGTACATGTCTCGAAACGATTTACAGTCTGTGTTGTTCGCCGTCCTCTCCCTCACACACACTTCACCTCCTTCCTATTCTCTGACCGCTCCGCCGCATGAGTTGCTTAGTCTCACCTGCTTTTTTTCAGCACGCATCGACGATCTCCCCTGTTTCCATCGAACCCCATCTCCTTGTCACTGGGATCGTTCCGAGGGCTGGGACACGCGCGATCTAGTCGTGCAATTCGCTCGCTTTGGATTGCCCAATGCGTCTTGGGTTTTAACTGAAGTGAATCGCGATTACAAGGCACGTTTTCTGTTCCTCGTTACAGCTTTTATGCCCATTGTATCTCTCATAATAACGCTAATACTAATGATAAGAATAAATTCATTCTTGGTTTTCCACGCGAATCGCCTAAAAGGGTTATTGTGGGTGTACTGTTTCTTTGACCCACTGACCCCTGTTAACTCGCTTCAATTGCTTTTGTGTTCAGGCGAATAGTCCCATTTCGAATATGATTCATCTCATTTTAATCTGGGTTCTTTACTTTTACCAGAGGGTTACCGCACTTTCGGTTCACGTTTTGGTCGTTTATCCGCGATGCTCGCTTACTTTGCTCACAGCGCCGGTATCCCCACCGTCACATCATCTGTTTCCCTAATCATCTGTGGCTTTCGTTCATATCCACTCTGCGTGTTCACATCATGTGGGGGCATCGCTGGTGCAGAACTTTTCTGACAAGCCGCTGTAGAATCACTGGACTACCCGATGTAGTATACTCATCTGCGCCCGCGTATTGTGTACAAACTTGTCACTTATGTCCAGTGGTTTTTTTCAGCGGCGTTTACGTACCAGTGGATGATAGTACGTCGCGCCTAATCGAAGGCTGCTGTGCTCTGTATAGGTAACAATCACCGTGCCCACTCTACTTATTAAAAGTGATGCTACATTACAGTGATGGCAGACGATTATGCTGCTTATGCGATGAATAGTTGGCCGGCAGTCTGAGTCTGCGTCCTCCATCCTAGACAAAATCCACTTTAGGAGGCCATTTTTCACAATTGGTTTCACAGAACACTAATCCGACCAAATTTTCCTCATGACTGACCAACCAGCATTGATGTGTTCTCACTTTAGTGGGCTTTGGGGATGGATATACTTACACCAAAGTGCACCGTGCCGATGTGCGCCACACGAATAGCATCTTACCCCATAGTGGAACCACCCCAGTGCCACTGGCACTCAACGTCTCACCTCAGTGCACATGTAGATGGTCTGCATCCGCGCAGCACTTTTGCTATCCCCGACGCTCACATACCATCGCGAAGAGACTGGCCCTTGACGTCGTGCGATGGTTTCGTGCCCCAACGATCCACTTCCCACTCCAACAACGCTCTCATTCCCCATGCGTAATAGGGTATTTGACATGCTGTTACTTGTTTTTAAAGGCTAACGTTTTGTACTTTTTCTGTTTAATGTAGTGTCTTTTTAGTGTTGTGGCACATTAGCTGAAGTATGTTTATTACCCTCAATTGTGTATTGACGAGGATAATGACAATGACACTCATATAACCGGGTCTTCTGAACACTCACTATTTGGTTTATAATCTGTGAGCGCCGATTTTCGAGCATCTTTCGGCCGGCTTACATCTGACGAGTTCCATAGGTGACGAATGCCATAATGGAGCACATTTGTGGAACTGGTCTGTGCTCTTCTTCATGCTTCTCCCTTCTTTTGATCCGATTTCCTAAGCAAAGTGACACGATCTCTACTTCATATGCAGACTGTGCTGCGTCTTGTGACCATGGTTAGATGATGAATCTAGCTGTATTACTATGAAAAGTAGACAGTTATCATGGAGTTAAACACATCGGCCAGTCTGATTTTTCTACTTTTACTTCTCGGAGCGATGTTGTACATGGCCTTGTCGATCGACTAGGTCATATGGTCCCTTCCACTTCGACAGGAGTTTCCTCTCGCCTGGGCCACATGCGGTCGCGCATTGGTGATCTCTGTACTTTACCTTCGAACCGACTGGAAAGTATCCTTGAGCTTTTTTCATGTTGACCCGGTATTTCTCCATCATCCGCGCCTGGCTGCCTTCAGGCTTCGGTTCGCTAACTTCCTGTTGTTCCGTGCTTCCGTCGGCGTTAACCGGCAGGTCGGCCACCTTCCCACCACTAGATCCACAGGAATTCGGGGCGCGGCCGTATACTAACTGAAATGGAGATTGCTTCGTGCTTGCTTGCTTGGATGCCTAGTGAACTAGCAAGAGTTGTGTTAGAGCCTCTTCCCAATCTCTCCCATACGTCACCAGCCATTCCTTAATTGTCCTATTATTCCTCTCCGTCAATTCGTTTTTCTGGGTATGGTAGGGAGGGGTTCGTATCTTCTTGATGCCCAGTTTTTCAAGACCTCAGGTACTCGTCAGTTTCAAAGCATGAGCCCTGGTCCGTCAGTATAGCCTTCAGAATTCCGGGACCCGCTATCACGTGCCTCACCACCGCATGTGTTATTGTGCTGCCCGCTGATCCGGAATTGCCGCGGCTTCAATCCAGCGGGTAAAGTGCTCGATCATCACGATTATGTATTGATTAATCCGTCTTCTTAATGGGATCGGCCCCATCACGTCAATTGACTACAAATCACCAATCTTAGACACTGGAATCGCGAGCATAGGTTGTGGTATTCCTCGAGCCGGCATTGCTGACACGACAGCACGTATGAATCGACGTCTTTTCTCATACCTGACCAGTAAGCTCGCTGCCTAAGCAAATCATATGTTCTGCTGCATCCGGTATGCGCCACCTCGTGACAAGAGACCACGAAGTTTCTCCGCAACTTCATGGGGATTACCGGTACTTGGGTATCACCTCGCCCTTATCTCTATATCAGAATTCCGGCTTCATTGACTTGCAGCTTTTCCAAATCCCTCGCAAACGGCCCGAATTTTTTGCCTTGGCTTCCGGTTGTCACATTTCGATTCAATATTCGTGCTGTTATCAGCCTGTTCAGGGGCCTATCCTTTCGTTGCTCAGCTGCCAATCTACCCGGATCCTGCTCAAGCATTAAGCCACTAACATCGAAGGCGACGTTCGGCGAGTCGTCGTCACTCGTCAGGCGTGATAAAAATCTTCCGTTCCGTTGTCCATCCCTGATATGCGCCACCCACCTAACCCATTTGCACCTCGTTTCTTTAAAGGACTCGATCCATTCCAATTGTTTGTGATCTGTTTCGACGTGAAAGCGTTGACCCAGTAAATACGCCCGCCACTTGTCTAGCGCCCAAACAATTGCCGGATATTCCTTCCCTATTGTTGAATAATTACACTCCGATTGCGTTAAATTCTGCTAGCATATTCAATCGTCCCCTCTTTTTGTAACAGTACCGCACCGATTCCGACGTCACTTGCGTTGTGGTCACCGTGAATGTTTCTCCGGTGCTCGGCAATTTCAACTTATGATCCTGCCTTCCCATTTCTTTCTGAATGTCCTCAAACGCTCGCTGAGCTTCTGGGGTCCACGTGAATTTCTTCCCCTCTCTTAACAGATCGCCCAGAGGTGACCCCAAGATGTTAAAATTCTCGACGAATTTACTGCAGTATCCGACGCGGCTCAAAAATTCCCCAAGGCTGCGCTTCCAGGTCGGAACTGGGGTGCCTCGAATTGTTAATATTTTCTCCTACAGCGACTTCAGCTCACCTTGACACACCTTGTGACCAAACAGTGTTACGGACGTGTTCCCAACCATTTATCCGTAATCCCGACTGTTGGATCCTTTACACCATTGCTTCCAAATGATGGCAATGTTCTGCTTCCGACTCACTGTATATCACGATGTCTCCATACAAGGCCACCTAATCTAACCCATCTAGCAGGCGGAGCATCAAACGCCGGAAAGTGAACGGGGCACCAGATAATCCAAACGGCACCCTTTTGAACTGGTACTGCTTCCCGCCAACTGTAAACGCAGTCATCTCGCGGTCCTCCTGTTTGATTGCTAGCTGCCAGTAGCCAAATCTTAAATCCAGTACTGTGAATATCTTTGAATTATGCAATTTGTCGAAGATGTCTGCGACTGATGGCGCGGGGACAAAACGACTCAGCGAAATTTCGTTCCACCATCTGAAGTCCACACAGAAGCGTTATTTTCCGTTGCCCTTCTTCACCAAAACGACAGGTGAGTTATTTGGGATGTGATCCTCCTTGATTACAACCGCATTCAACATCTCATGAAATGACCTTTTGACCTCCGCCTCCTGATGGATTGGTTTTCTTCTGGGTCCATGTGGCCGATACGGCTGCTGCGAAAGCGGAATTGCGTGTTCGAGGCAACAACAAAACCCGTAGGGGCTATCGTCTGTGAAGAGAAGTTTGTATTTGCCGACGAGCGATTGCAAGGTCATACTTGTGCGTAAAACGGCAACAACTAAGCACGCCCGGGTAGACCTTTCTCTACCAACGAGGGGTATAGACTCATAGTTCGTAATCAGCTTCCTCGTTTTAGGTCGACGATGGCCTCATAGACTTGGAGAAAGTCTTTCCAGAATGGTCTGTTTCGCATCCGACGACATGACGAAGAGATGGACGAATTTATGACTCCCGACACATACCACGTGCTTCGCGCATATTGTAACCACCGACCGCCTTCACCACCATGGAACACAATTGGGTTTTCAGTCCATCTCTATGGTTGGCCAGGGAGACTGCGGCTGTTGTATCGATTAAACTCCTCTCTATTGCTTCATTCACCTCTACCATCGCTTCAATCGCACCCTTGTTCAGTGCCCCAAGTATGCACTTTTCAACACGAGAACAATACAATGTATCTTTTATTTGTTACAAAGAGTGTAGTGCACCTTGAATTGCATTGCCGCTTTTAGTGTCCGTTTCCCACAAAAGAAGCTTCGCTTTTTTGCCGCGTCCTCTGACTGGTGCTCCGATATCTTGCGCAATCTGCTCCAACTACTCTTCCAACCCGTCCAGTCGCTCTCTATCTTCTCGGTCTTCGATTCTCAATGCTACCACTGGCTCCTGTACCAACTCACTTGCAACTCGAGCAAGTTCCACCACACCCGTTCTCTGGATGACGTTCACAATCCGCAATCGATCCGTCATCGTTGTAAACCATCCAGAAATTGCTCCACTAATAGTTGCTGTCTTGACGCGTCATCCAAATCTGGCAACGCCTGATCCAACAAGCAGCCGAGATGGACCGCAAACACGACCGGATTCGCTCCAAGCCCAAGCCCTAAATCGTCGCATCGCATCCTGGCGGTCGGCCGGACTGTGAACCCTGCGATCA